CGACTCGTGAGGAGTCGTATTTCGAGCAGTGCTTTATTGTCGAGAAGAAGATAGGAAGCGGTTCTTTCGGTGATGTCTTCAAAGTGAAGAGTCGAGAGGACGGCAAGTATTACGCCATAAAGAAGTCGCGCGAGAGGTTCAAAGGGAAGTCGGACCGCGAGAGGAAGTTGGAAGAGGTGTGTAAACACGAACAGCTGCCCAAACACCCGAACTGTGTGCGACTGTTCCGGGCCTGGGAGGAGAAGCAGCACCTGTACATACAGACCGAGTTGTGTGAGACCAGTCTCAGCGACTTCGCAGATGTCAATCACGACATTCCCGAACACATTGTCTGCAATTATTTGGTTGATTTGCTCAAAGCTGTTCAGCACCTCCACGATCACCACTTAATACATCTCGACATTAAACCCGATAATATATTCCTCTCGAGGCATGGTTTCTGCAAATTAGGAGACTTTGGACTCGTTCTCGACGTTAATAAAGTAAGACAACCATTGAGTGATTGATGTGTCCGTTGTTTGACAGCAATATCTGTTTGAATGTCTTTACAGAATGACACGAACGAAGCCACAGAAGGAGACCCCAAATATTTAGCCAAAGAGCTAATGTCGGGTCAGTTCACAAAAGCTGCCGATATATTCAGTTTAGGCATAACTATACTGGAAATAGCGTGTGATTTAGATCTGCCGTCCGGTGGAGAGGGTTGGCATCAACTCCGAGACGGCAACATTCCCGACAACCTTCTCAACGGTATTTCATAGAATTGATTTGGTTTGATGTTCGCTTAGATCTGATTTGATGTGTTATTTTATGTCTGATTTAGGCATGAGTTCGGAATTGAGTGAAATAATAAAAGCTATGATGAGTCCTGACTATAGCCTCAGGCCATCGGTGAACCAATTGTTAAGTCATCCATTCATTCGGCGAATTGAATGCTCGCGTCGATGGAAGTTAAAGAGCAAACGAAGCCTGAAGTTAGCGAAAACATTACTTAATTGGTTTTTGCAGTTTTTTATCAACACTTTTCTCTTCATATGTTATCCATTCAAATATTTATACCAAACTATCGCTAAAAGGCCGGCAACTGAAACGCCCTTAAAGTCTCCAAACAATTCAAATTATTTATATGACAACGATTTCGACAACTATTCGGACGACGACTTATTCGACGCCTCCTCCGTCTCTCTTCTAANATTTTTTATAATTCTTTGACAAATGTTTTATGAATCCGTGTTTTGCGCACAATGCATTGCATTCATCACCACATTGTGACACTTGTGACACAAGACTCTGATTCATAATCATGTTTTATAGACAGTTTGTACAGCTATTATTATATTGTTTTCATTGTGCCATTGATTGTCATAACCGTTTTCTATAATTACAGTATTTTAATTTATTTCAATTTTCAATCAATGGTTAAATTTAATGTCAATACATTTATCAAACAAATAAGTTATTAAAACAAATTTTTTATAATTACAAAAACAATATTTGCCAATCATTTGACATAACAGTAATTTGGTTCATTGGGTTTTGTTATAAGTTAATGATTTTTTGATTCATTTATTGGTAAACTAAATCAATAGGTGAGATATTTGTGAGAAAACAGGTACAGTCATTGCATAGATAACCTTGCACATTCACTAATACGGTACAGGTATGACTCATACTCAAATTCTGACAGCTATTTGTCTACTATTTATTCAAACTTAAAATACTACTGTAAACTTGACAATAGGATGTAGGTGCAATACTGGATGCGACCCCCACTATACCAACACTGCCCCTAACTATCCCTCGCACAGCCTCTGCAGTTCAACCCGTTTTGCATAACTGTAGTCGTATTCAAATCTCATTGAAATATCCATACATTTCCATACATTTCCATATCTTTCTGTTTATTTCTTCACTAATCAATTACGTGAACGGATAACATATAAAACATATACACTTTTACTCAACAATCCAAATATGGGTTCAATTTTTATTTCAAATGATTACGTTTTTTATGACTTTTCATGAGCCAAACTTTATTTGGAAAAATTGAGTTTTGTGTACAAAAATGCAAATACTGTGCTCTCATTGGTTCAATTGTTTTTGGTTACTAAGCGACACATTGTATTCAATACATAAAATATGTTAACATCAAACAACGTTACTACACATGAAACCCCAACTGATGTAAATGTGAACATGGTCATCTAGTTATAAACAGTTTTCGTCCATTAATTTGAACTTAAATACAATTAAATGAATGTATGATTGAGAGGGATGTATAGAAAATGTGATAATTTGTACGAATGATAAGCTGTATATGTTTGAGAGTGTGAGCGCCCACTGCTGTCTCGCGTCACTTAATATGTGTTTGTAAATAGGTTTGCCAACTGATGGGTCTATGCGTTGACTGACTGTCTGTTTGAGTGCCACTCACTTCACACTGACTCCACTCGCAGTGAAACACAGTGTCTGCAGACTCGGGATTTGCTGCAACTGGTCATTAGTGAAGGGATTCATATGAAAATGAGTGCACTGAAGATGACTCGTGTCAACACATGATAGTTGAGTGAACAGTGAGTCCATTATTATCCACACATTTCATGCAACACTTGCTCTAATTGAGTGCAAAGATGTCGAAACTATCGGTTGGGATCAATGTTGACATTCAGAGGACTAATGGTATGATGTGACTGTCCATTGCTGTCACTGCTGATGACTAACATATTGGCCACCATTTGGTGCAATGATAGGTCGCTAGGTGAGGCGCCAGTAGTCAGTATAGCTAACCTTCTCAGCCTCACACTGTCAGCTCACCAGCCTTAGCCTACTCTATTTCCCGTTTCTCCAATGGTAACTAATAGAACGCGTCATTGACATTGTGTGACCACTTGTTGTCATGATTTCAGATCGATTTTGAGTCCATTTATGTATTGAATCCAAATCTGATGGAAACGCCGAACCCATCGGTCGGTGGTATTCCTCGTAAAGTAAGTGATCCATTGGTTTGTCTGTCAAATACTGTACAACTTTTCTAAGACTTTTGACTCTTTTTCTCTGAACTAATCCCTATTCGCAGACAATCACTGAAAATGAGGTACTCTTTCATTGCTTTCATTTCTATAGACTTTGTGCTGAAATGCATTTCTTGTCACTAATGTGTCATTCAATACAATACGAGTCCATTGTGTGAGTGATGTTCAGAATACTAACGGATAGATCTCTCGCACAGATAAACACTCGGCCGTCGGGCATAACGGCGCCGACCACTAAGGGCTCACTGCGTGTCCGACAGAGACAAACGATGGCCAACGGGAACGGCAATAGCGTTGCTTTGGAGCCCTTGCCGGTGGTGTCGGCCAACAATCACAACCTGAATGCCAACCTGTTGTTCTTGGACTGCCACCGCCGCTACCGAGTCCTTTTCGTCTTGTTCAGACGCCACTAACTCCGCTTGAGAGCCGCGTCTAGATTACAGCACTTTCTTCACCTGTTTTAGTTCTTCGTTTCCCTGGAACGGAGAGCACGACAGGCGGAACAGAAAGCCGAGAAGATAGAGCTGATGAATGCTGTGGAACCGGGCTCTCAGAACCAGTGGGAGTTCCTGTCGATGATCCGTGAATATAGGGCTCAACTCGAGTACAAACCGATAACAATGAATGATTCGGTGGACTTCCACCAGATCTGTGTCGCCGTCCGCAAGAGACCGCTCAACAAGAAGGAGGGGCAGAGGAAGGACATCGATGTGGTGACGATTCCCAACAAAGACCTCATTATAGTCCACGAGCCCAAGCAGAAGGTCGATCTCACCCGTTATCTCGAGAATCAAATGTTTCGTTTCGATTACGCCTTCGACGAGAGCGCTGACAACGAACTCGTCTATAAATATACCGCAAAGCCTTTGGTTCAGACCATTTTCGATGGAGGAATGGCTACTTGTTTTGCTTACGGCCAGACCGGCAGTGGAAAGACACATACAATGGGCGGTGACTTTCACGGCAAGTCTCAGGACTCGGCGAAAGGCATCTACGCTTTGGCCGCGAGGGATGTCTTTAAACTATTGCGGTCTTCAAAGTATAAATCAGAGGATCAAACAGTTTTTTTATGAATTGCACATAAAATTTTAATAAATTTCCAACATTTTGGTATAGTTTTTGTTAGTAAAATATAATTGTAAATATTTTTAATTTAATTTACAAGTCGTACTGATACGATGGGACACCCGATAGTTATGATATTTAGCCCACAATCATTGACCAAAAAGTTACATTTTCTGTTAAAGAGGACAACAAATTTCCAGAGATTTTGACAAATTGAGCTTGATACTGGCTACACATACGTACTTGGTCACTTACAATAAATTCTTAATACATAATATTCCTATTCTTTATAATATGTTACTCACTGCAACTTATAAGCAAATGGAAGCCAAATAAATCTGATTTTTAAAGCTTATCTTACTTGTTAGTAACATTTTGATATTCATATTACATTTAAAATTAAATATAAAAATACTTCATACTTTGAAAATAATTAAATTACATTACATTACATTACTTTACTTCTATAAAATACTTTGAATGCAAACAACAGGTGGGCTAACAATTAGGGAATGAATTCAAAATCAAATAAATTTATAAATCAGTGGTACTTTCGAAACCAAATAAATAATGATAATATCATTAAAATATTGGCTCATTTGGACTATCGTTAGATAAGTGGCTAACAATTAGTGACATATAAGTCATTCAATTGATAAATATAATCCATTTGAAAAAGTTTAGTGAACTAAACTATTGAATAATATTTTTATTTTAAATAAAATCCAATAAAATATAATAGTTTTTGATAGCAAAGGAAATGCATTGAAAAATTCAACCGTTAATAAGACTTATAATAGAATTTAGTTAAACAGAGAAAGGATATCAAATTGAGTCAAACATTTTGTAAATACATTGTATTCATTGAATTTGAATAAATAATTGATGTAAAAACAGGTCATCAAAAAGTTATAAATATATGTGATTTTCAGAATAATTGGTTTTTCAGTCAAATATATTCTGAGAATTGGTTGCAATATTCATATAATGGATGAAAAAGCGGTTAAAAGAGAGCTTAATCTCAGGCATATTCTGCTCGGACCCACAATTCTTGTGTTTGTATTAGTTTTGGACACCTCCTTGGGATTGGGTTTAGTCCCACGACTTGTCACCCGATTTTGTTACAACTCTCCCAGTCCTTCCACAGTTAATGTAAGTTTGCTATTCTCTATTCATCAAACTTTCAGTACATTCTGTGTTATAATTATTTGTATTCATTTCTAGAGTCAATGTGTTCTTTGCAATTATTATCTCTTCGACCAAACCGTAAGTTTTATTGCAAATCATTAGTCAATTATTATCAAATTTAAGCTCAAATTAATATTTTATTTATATGATCACAAATTGCTTCAATAGATGTTGGGCTGTACTGGTTCGGTAAGCCATAATTGTATTACAAGCTAACTTAAAAACAATTTTTTGCTATAATATATTTGTTTGTCTTAATACAAGTCTGCCCTCAGCATCAATATAACTGCAGCGCAAGCTTTTTGTGTAATCTCTAATTGCCTCGGAGTATGTATACTTTGAATAAGATTTTTACATGATTATTACATTGTGTCCAACTTGTACAGCAAGTGAGACAATCGCCTGTATTTCTTGGACGTAAAAAGCGAAGTGAAGACACCATTGAAATGTTTAGTGATACCAATGAAGACCACAGAAGTAATGACATTATAATTCCTGAAGAAAATAATTTCAAAGATAAAGACATCGCTGGCGAAGAGAGTGACACACAAATGGTATACAAATACAATCCAAACGAACAGTTTATTGTCGCCAAAGAAGTCGAGGCTTTGATTATTGATTTACCGGAACCTATAGACGACTCAATATTATCGGTATAGACCACTGTTTCTCATCAAATCACACAATTGCTGTAAAACTTGGATTTCATTGAGTTTGGACCACAGAATCGGATCAAATGTGATACTAAATCATACTTTAAAAACATAATATTCTCCATTAAATTACAAAAATTATACTTTATTGGGGTATTAAAACAATATTTAAGTCTAAATTATAATTGTTTACAATAAATTTTATTATTTGTGTAAATATTTAAAGTTCTCTATATTAAGTGGTGTTAAAGAAAATTAATAGATCTAAACTTTA